AGGATTTCCAGGGCTGTTGTGGACTTATGGTGAATTATCAATATGTGCTGGATGATGTTCTTGACATTAACCAAGAATTGATTGTTTTTGCAAGCTCTGCTAGGACCTGGATTGATTCTCTAATTATCTTAGACTGATCAGATTCACTTAAATCCTCCATCTGCACCCTTCTCACTGGCCTTGGACCCAGACTTTCATCTCTTTAGCTGTCTGGGTCAGGCAATGATGCTTTGAGGCCATGGTCCATTGGAGAGTGTAGCAGGCCAATACACTTTTTTGGTGCCGTTGTTAAAAATTCTAGCTGTGGAGGCTGTTGTTAAGGCTTCTTCTCAGGTGGATGTGTAGTCAAAGGTGTAGAAGCCTCAAGATTGACTGCAGTCAGCCAATGGGTAAAGGTAGATGCAAAACAGTGGAAACCTTCCTACAGTCTGTTTGGTGCCTTCGAAGGAAAATATTTTCTTTGGATTCACAACATTATGGTCCTAACAGAAATGTGCACACATGTGGTTATTGTGTTTTTTTATAGTTACCTAGCCACCTCTGATGGGCATTTCGCCAGATTCTAATGTTGTGCACACATGTGGTTACTGTGTTTTTTTATAGTTACCTAGCCACCTCTGATGGGCATTTCGCCAGATTCTAATGTTGTGCACACATGTGGTTACTGTGTTTTTTTATAGTTACCTAGCCATCTCTGATGGGCATTTCGCCAGATTCTAATGTTGTGCACACATGTGGTTATTGTGTTTTTTTATAGTTACCTAGCCACCTCTGATGGACATTTCGCCAGATTCTAATGTTGTGCACGCATGTGGTTACTGTGTTTTTTTATAGTTACCTAGCCATCTCTGATGGGCATTTCGCCAGATTCTAATGTTTACTTTTCTGCTCTGGCTCCTAGTTGATTACTAGTTGAGTCTTCATTGGTTAAGTGTACATGGGCAAGATGGTAGTCCCCTGAATATGAGTGTCTCAGACCTCAGCATCTCCTGGAATGGAGAGATGACTGATGTCAATGGCAGTTGAGGTGGCACTTCGGACCACAGGTCTAGTCTACAAGAGCCTGTGCATCTGTTACGTGGGACAGCAACATGCCTTCATCCACTGGCTCCCCCACTGATCAAAGGAAAGTTTAGGTCAGCCCCCCCTCCAAAAGTCTTGGGGACTACTGGATATTCTTCCAAGTTTAAATTGTTGCTGAGAAGAAATATTTTGCTTTCAACAATTAAAATAAGGTAATTAAGGAAACAAGATGGAAATTTAAACTCGAAGCTAGTTGAGTAGACAAAACAGACAGAATGGTAAGAAATTTGACTATTCATTAAAATTTAGGATTAAAATTGCTTTGTCAAACTTGTTTCTACTTAGTCGGAAAATTCTGCTAGAAGTATAAGGGCAAAAACTGTAATGACTCAGTCACAATTACAACCTACTTTAAAAGCAGATTCTTGCAATGAAGTGGCAAACTGTTGCCTTGGTTAAGTGCCATTTCTATAGGTATACATATATTTGTGGTATTCTCAAGTGCACTAATTTCGCTTAAGAGTAATAAGGTAGATTTCACAGAATAAAAGGAGGTCTGATAGAAAAATTATCACGGAGTAAATCTAAATTATCTGAATTCGCCTGAGTTGTGAATGAAAAAATCCTGGACCTAAAGGAAATCAAATAAACCATTGTTATTCACTTCACAAAAACAAACACAGGACGAGTATGTTTATACAGGAGAGAACTGTCTTGCACTTAATGACCACAAAAATTCAACCAAAATATACTATCACAGCTAAATTGCCTTCGGCCAGGATAAGTATTCCTCTTGCCCAGTACAACAGGGTTGATTAAAAGTGTCCTTTCACACAATGCAACTGAAGAGTTCTACCTGAGTATGTAGATGTAAGTACTTCCTTGGATTCAGTTCTAGGCCTGTTTTTCTTATCTGCGGAAGAACACTGTTTAGGATTGCAGCAGTAGGCTGAAACACGTGACCAAACATTAAGACTCTCCCATTATAGTCATTAATCATAGTCCTCATAATGTAAGCATTATAAGCGTCCCTAAAGTGGCACGTACATTACACAGAATGAATGATGTGACATACAACTCATACATACTATCTCAAGCGCATAAAGCAGTTTTGGGCCTGCTTTCATCATCCAGTATCAAGAAGTCAGGTATAAAGTGTTGAACCAATGAACTCCTTCCAGTGCTTTTAGATGTTCGTCTCTTCATATTAGTGGGAAAAAGACATTAATGTAGTTCAATTCAGTCACCCATATAAAATTAACACATAACATTGGTTTGCCCTCTTTCTTATTCAGGCTCACTACAAGAGATTATCGAACACTTTTTGAAAGCTGTATGATTCCACCCTTCAACATTCATTGTATCTCAGTGCTAACTGTATCTCTAGAGTTCCAGAACAGCTTGGGCAGTGGCTGTTTATTGGACATATGCAACTAATATCCACGTGATGAAAAGTTAGTTTTGTCTTACCCTAATGGCCACCTTAATCCACAAATATCTCTCAGTTCTTGTTAATGTGTTAAATCGAAATAGCTTGCATAGTCGTCGAATAATGATCTCAAATGTTCTTTCAGTCATTAATTCACTCACAGAAGCAGCTCTATTAGTACAGCTAGTTTCGGCTATTTCCATGTTGCTTACTATGCCAATGGTCATTCCAGTGATAGAATAAATAACCAAATATTCATGACTACACAGTAACATGTAGACTGTACCGCCACTTGCACAGATAACTATATGACCAAGTGCAAGCCTGCTTTCTATGAAAGAAAAGTGTATTTCATATATTATTTCCATCACTGCAACAGATATCATGAAATATTCTCATGTGTAGTCATTTCTTATTGAGTCCATTCTGGCCAACATTGGTTTGTTTTTCCATGGAAATACAACTCACCTGTTGCACAGGGAAAACTGGCTAACAACTTCCATTGTAGGTCCGATCCTAAGATACCAATATCAGAAACAACTATCTATGTAATGTGAGTGATATTACCTGTAAGTAATTGGAGACATGTATATCCCTTCACATCTAGCCATCTACAGATCACCAAAATGAAGTATGTATGAATTGGTCCTAGTAATGGACTTACTTAGGATGCCTGATACCAGAGGCGTCGCTAGGAATTGACACTCGGGGCCCGTGCCACGATTCTATTTGACATTGCCCGAATCCCCAGTTGGTGTCCTGAAAAATCAAAATAGAAAACCACGATCGATATCATGCCGAAAATTCCCTCGGTTATGGGTCCGAGCCCCGAATCTTTTAAGCACCTAGCGACGCCTGTGTCTGATACACTTCAAGATTGATCAGGTACCAACCAAATCAGGATCTTGACTTCCTAGATTTATATGGTCATTAACATATACCAAGCACTAACCAGTCCTGAATTAGCCGGGTTTGCCATTCAACCTTTGGATACAAGCTAACTACTGTGTCTCCACACAGTTCTTTGTTAAAGTTTATTTTGTTTTGAACTGTAACTTTAATTTTTAATGCCTTGGACCATAGCTAATTGATTATATAGTGGGCTGTTTACAAACCGTTTTTTGTCATTCCATGTATTATTTCAATAAAGAAAATTACATTGCGTTTGTTTTTAAGCAAAGGAAATTGACTGTAATGTATTGTTAGCCCAAATGTTTGGGTTTCGATGCACAGGGTGCATCCAGCACAACAGAGCGCTCAGGTTCGCTAGGTAGCTGTGAGGATTTTTTCAGCTGGATGTCACTGTTTCTTGTCATTGTAATTAGCGCCAGAAAAGACCGCTACCTAAGAGAGCGCTTTTAGACAGTTGTCATTTCTATCAGAAGTGTCAAAACATATTTAATTCAATTCAATTTATTCGACATGGTATAATAAAATCATGCATGTATATAATACTGACATGAAAAAAACAAATATAAACTGAACAAAACAAAACTCAAACACGTTCCTTTCTTTAAGCGTTTTTTCCGTTCATGCTCCTATCTTCGAAATATTTATTTCAGTCAGTCGATGGAGGAAGGAAGTCCTGTATTTTTCGCGAAATTCCTTCACGGAAATAAATATTTTTGCTCTTTAATAAGTTTTTTTCTCAGATTGACCTTTCAGCACATACGAAGACTGAAGGATCGATGTTGATTTCGATATGATATCGATATATATATATATTTATTTATTTTTCTACGTTTAACAGTTTAGTCGATACAGAGCATAACAGAGAGGCAGACATTTGGCTATTAGTCCAGATGGTTAGGGCGCTCAACTCGCAATCTGCGGGTTCGAATCCCCCTCCCATCAAACATGCTCGCCCTTTCAGCAGTGGGGGCGTTATAGTGTGTCAATTCCACTATTCGTTAGCAAAAGAGTGGCTCAAGAGTTGGCGGTGAGTGGTGATGACCAACTGCCTTCCCTCTAGTCTTTCACTGCTGAATTAGGACTGTATTCTACTGAAGAATTAATTTGGGCTTCATCCAACACTCGAGAGCCAAATAAATAAGCAAGGAGGGGGTATATATCCAGGTGTACCTTATCATTCCAGGTCACATGACCAAACAACGACAAAATGAAACTATGTATACATGTGTGTGCAGTGCAGTGCAGTGAAGATTATAGCTTATCATGCTTGGCTCAAAACTTTGGGCCCCCAGTGGCACAGCGGTATGTCTGCGGACTTACAACGCTAGAAACCGGGTTTCGATACCTGTGGTGGGCAGAGCACAGATAGCCCTTGTGTAGCTTTGTGCATACTTAAAAACAAACAAACAAAACTTTGGTACTTGCATTAAGTAAGAGTGCATGTGATTACTTTTATAGCATAGTAAATTTAATCTTCTTTTTTTTATGCCTGTCGTCGCAACAACAAGCCGTTTTAATCGTAAAAGTAAGCCATTCTCACTCATAAAACACAACCCTTTTTTTCTTTTCACTATTTACATTATCGACCACGTGGCAAAATACGTAATTGATGTTGCTTCAGTTACGACCTGGGAAAGCGTATTGAAGAAGTATTTACTCTAAGTATAATAATTGAGTGCAGTATTGTTCTCAGTCTTCTTTTGTTTTTAAACATAGTCCCTAGTTGTGTTTGAAGTTTCATTGAAATAACAATGTGTTTAGCTTAACCTTTAGACTTAGTTTAGGTTAACGAAAAAACCATACCCAGTATCTTAAATCTATTCTGGTCATATACTGATGTTATAAACTTTTCATCGCTACACTGTCTCTAGTCGTGAAGGCAGAAGCTCGAAAACGGTAGGATTTCAATACAAAAATGCGTATCACACATGTTTTTCTGTCTATCCATTATAACACAAAATTTACCCATAATATTACTATTAGTATTACTAGTATTAGGTTATAAACCTTTTAAATGAAATACTTCACCTTATATTGAAGTTATAATATTAATAATAATGAAGCCAGTTCATAGTTTTTGATGAATATTTATGAAATGCAATTTTAAATAACTTAAATATTAAGTCCTAAAATGGCTAAATTGTTCATTATCGCCTAACTACTGTAAATTGTGCTATTTCATAGTGAAAAACCAGTCCTTACCTTTAGTTTATATACTATTTTGTGTTTAGGCCTCTATGATCAGTCTTGCTCTTAGATTTAGAAGTTAGGGTAGATTATGAGATACTATCATTGTATTTTGTAACTTGTAAGGCTTTAGGCTTTATTAGGTTTAGGCTAAGAGTAAGAGTAGAAAACGAAAGAACTGCGCGATGAACAGAACTAGTGTTGGTATTTTTATTTACACTGTTAAATGAAATCATAATGGAACCCTATAATAAAATCCTTATAATTTCTTATCCTACGTTCTAAACAATAATCGTCATGTAGATCATCAATACTAAATGTATATATGGTGATAATATTATAAGACAACAAGTGACCACTTTTTCCTTCAACACTTCAACTTCAAGGCTGGCTGCCTCTGCACATCTACCCTTGACTGAGAAAAAGTAAAAACTTAAAACTACTGTTTAGTTTTAAAGAAATTATAAGTTCCTCCTTTAAACTCCTGTAATTTGTAAAATGTTAACAGAAACTCATTCCAGCTAGTCATCCTGTTGTCTTCAGAATGTAGCACAAAGATATCAGAGTCCATTGTCCTATTGTTTATCCAGATAATTTTGTAAACTCCCCTTTCTTTTCTCAAGAGAAAATAAGACTCTTAACCTATCCCCATAAGTCACTTCTTGGAATCATCATAGTAGCCTTTGACAGTATTCTTTCTTATTATAACGAGATCACAACTGTTCACAGTATTCCAAGTGAAGCCTAACTAATGTGTAGAGAGATAAACATCTCTTTAGCTCGATAACTTCTGATACATAGAAAGGAACTAAAAATTAACTTACTGATCTAATGAAGAGTATGTTTTTAGGAAAGTTGATGACAGAAGTGTGTGTGTGGATAAGCCAGGAAAATGATAAACTTTAACAGCAAACAAAAAGTAGGCTTAAAATCATATCAGCGTTGATATAGTGATACAATGTAATGGTAATTAATGGTCAATTCTTGCAGAAACCAAATTGGTAAAACAATATCGCACTTAAAAAATTAATTATGCATAACTTGGTTATTACAAATAAATATTTGTCACTTAGATCTATTAATTTTTTCCTACTTGTATGTTTTGGTAAAAAATTCTGTATTGAAATTGTTGACATGCAAGCCAAACAGTATTATTTCGTTACCACATTCTTTAAGGAATCGGCATGCTGTGCTCACAACCATTGCATGCTTATTACACTTGTTCTCTGAGGCACATGTTTTACTGACCTAATTGGGCTCATCAGTTTAATGATGTTGTTGACCACTTCTTATCCTGTCTACCACAGCATCGTTATTACCTAACTCAAAGCACTTTAACTGTCTCCAGTTCACTCTTGATAGTAGTACAGTTGTAATAACATCTTTAATGTTGTGCAGATGTGTTTAACGTACTTGAACAAGGAAGTACATTTTGCTAATATTATAATAGGTTGGCAAACAACGATTTATAAACATAAAGAAGAATTTTATTGACGGTGGAACATACTACATGTTTCAACAGAACTTTGGTCTGTCTTATTTGGGTATGATCATTACTTATAATTGTCCTAGCAACATCAGCTATATTTGGCAAGGTCTGTTCACTGTTCACACACACTTGACCTTTACCTATATCCTGTTACCTGCTGACACCATTTCCATCACATTTAATCCCTGTGTCTTTTGTTCTTGTAATGATATGTATACCTTGTATTGCCTAGTACCGATCATACCCAAAGAAGACAGGCCAATGTTCTGTCGAAACATGCAGCATGTTCCACCATCAATCAAATTTTTTCATATGCTTATAAATCATTGTTTATATTAATGTTTGGCCTGTTGTATATTGGTTAATAAAATGAAAAAATTAGTTTTGTTGAATTGTTTATTTTTAGTTATATTATTTGTAATTTTTATTTACTAATTAGGGTGCTTTAAGGATTTACAAAGTGCATTGGGTGATATGATTCTGTTGTTACAAGATATGTTTTAATGTTGTTATTTAACTGTTAGCTAGAGGGAGCTGTGTGCTTTAATTATAATGTTCAGACCTTAAGATTTAATGAGGTAGGCTTAGAACTTTAGAAAACTAAGGATGTAACATAAAGTGTTCTAGCACATTCGATTCTATATTATAAATACAAGATAGATAGTGATTTTGAAGATGGAGAGTAAATCAGTCATTGTGTTTGTTATCCTGTTTACTTTATACAAGTTGATTTGTTTTACATTACTTAACATCATTTGTAATGTAAGCCTACAGCAAAATTACAGTAGTACAAATGTTCAATTTGTAGAAATGCTAAAGGAGGAAATAAAGTCATATATTATCATTAGATGGACTGGATGTTGATAATTTAAAAGAAACCACAGCAAGAGAATTACACTATTGGCATCTTCCTTAAAAGTTAACAGTTTTTCTCATTTGTTATCCAGAAATGTCTGTTCAAACTAACCTTCCAAAAGTGCTCGACCATTGGTGGACAGAAGTATGTTATAAAGTAAGGAAATCGGTGGTGTATTTGGATAACCCTGCTGCTGAGTGTCTACACTGGCATGGTGGCCTGCTGCGTCTTTTAGATGCTGGAGCGATATGTGTGAAGGAGTTGTCTTCATTTGAGGTGAGCTCTTAGGTCTAAATAAATACTTTAAATTCCACTTGAAGGTGAAATTATTACGTTCTGAAATGTGAACAAATATTTACTGCTGAGCTGTAATTTTTGCTTAATAACAGGTCTATCACAGTTTGAGGTAATATATTTTGAACTGTACAGAAAACAACGTCATATAATATGTCATTTGATAGAGAAAAACTTTGGCTTTCCTTTATGGTTATATATAATTTGGTCTTAAATGTCAGAGAAAATCATTGGCAAATTTTGAAAGATAGGATGTGACAGGTGAGCACAGCAAGAGGGGTCTGATTTTCTAACTTATTTCTTTGTAACTAAATTAGATTGAAGGCTATGTAAATTATGCTTTGCCTGAATGATGAAAACATTATAATGAGTAAGTTACATTAAAGTTTATAGAGAAGAGGGAAGACATTGATAACAAACATCACAGTTCTCATACTAGGAGAGATCGAGAATATTTTAAAAATATGTCCTTATATAATTAAGAACTTAAAACATAAATAATACCAAACTTTGATTTATTATCTACATTCTGATGCCAAGTTTATTCATATACATTGACATTGAAGTAGTTTAATTAAATTTTGAATGTATCTCTCTGAAAAGTTGTGACATACACACTTTGACCTACCTGAGGTGAAAGGGTTAATCATGTGGTACTTGCATGTGGTTTTATTTTCATGCAATTTATTGTCATTGATGAAACCTGTTATTAGTTGATTGTGGACAGTTGTGTGAAAACTGTACATTGTTTAGTTTGTTATGGTACAAAGTTCAAAGCAAAGTACTTGTGCTTGCCTTGCATTTGGGGCATTTTGTGGTGCATATTCGGTATCTGGGGGATTAAATCTCATGCATCCCGACAAATTCTCATGTGTGTGGGACCCAGGAGTTTGGGTTAACTAGAATCTTGATTTATGAAAATATGTGAACATTGTACAATGTATGTTTCAATTATAAATTTGATTGTTTCACTGTGTTATAAGGTCCAGTTTATACACTGTTTAAGCCATTCAGATATCGTTAAGTTAAATCTTTAATATAACCTTTTAATTAAACAATGTAAACTTAATTGCTTTGAATATCTTGTATAGACAGGATCAGAAACTGAGAGAAAAGCTGTCTTTGTAGTCAGTGGGCCTCTGTATGGAGAATCACTTCAGGTTATTCAAGACATCCTGAAGTATAGCAGTTTTCAGTACAGTGTAGTTATTACCAGTTTCTCTCCCAGTCATCATGACAACAAACAGATTTACTACACTGTAGAAGACAGGTTGCTCGAGTGGATGGGTAACATGGTAAGTTTAAAAGCCGTAATTATGTATTGTCACAGAAATGGCAACCAATAAGAAATAAATATCACTTTTGAAACCATCCTGAATTTTTCAGTGTTTGATAACATCAAACTTTTCAGGATAGAAGTGTCATTATTCTTTCCATCAGCAAGATGTTGAGAATGTATCCATCTGTGAATGTTACTATCGGTAATTTTCATCAGAATCCCATGTTTGTGTCCGCTAAAGATTCTGCGTTGCAAGCTGTAATTGTTGCTGTTCTTGATGTAACTGTATGTACCATCAAAAACATTGACTTTTGACAAATAACTTTTATGCAACTGACCTTATGCAGTTAGTAATGAGTCCTATATGCTTGAATCAGTGCAACTCTCCTAATTTAAATATACTATTTCCTTACAAAATGGATTTTTAATGCCTTTATTTTATAACCATAATAGAGTAATTAAGAGGAATGAGAGAGAGAAAAAGGTGGAGTTTATTGTGAATTTTACCACTAATATTAGGCCTGTTGGTTTCAATGCTATGCTAGCTTTCGGTATTTAAAAGCATGATATAAAGTGTTTTGTACTGCATGGAAAATAGCATTTTTTATGTACTTTTATATGCCATCATGTCTAGCTCAGGTAACAATTTCTGGTATTGAAGAAAAGACCTCCTCTGTATTGATATGTGACAAACAACAACAAAAAAGTATTTAAAATGCTATTTTTACTTGCCTCTGAGATTTGCAATGGACTGATTAAGAGGAATGATGGGAAAAATGATATCTGCCATCCAGTGTGATTTTTTTCACTAATATTAGGCCTATTGGTTTCATTCCTTAAGTAGTTTTAGCATTAAAAAGCATAAGATTGTAACATTATGACAGCTAGTGTCTTCATTCTTGGAATATTCCTTGCAGTTATCAATTCCATTCTCTACAGAAGGTTTGTCCGAATGTACCTACTGTGTTAAAGTAGAACTGTGGATCTTGTTTTCACCAGTGAGGTTTGTAAAACATGTCTTGCTGCTCGTGTTTATGACATAAAGTTAAGACTACCTACAATTGTTCAAACCATATTTTATTGGTTTGTAAGGTGATGGGCTACTTTAGGTCCTTAATGACACCCAGTCACCTTCAGTGGCTCAACAGTAAATCTGAAGGCTTATAATGGCCACAAAATCTGGTTTTGATACTTGTGGTAGGCACCGCAGTTAGCCTATTATGTAGCTTTGTGCTTAAAAACAAACAAACAAAAGGAAATTCTGACATTTATTTAAAATTCACTTGTCTGTTTTGTAGCAATGGAATTTTGATTTCTTTGAGTCATATCCTACAAATCAAGATGTGTTGCATGTTTTTTTTTGTTCTTTCAGAATTATACTGCCGAAGTTATACACATTCCCATATTTGCTGCAAGTATTTGTGATACTTTATTTTTGATGCCAGGGTTTTCAAAAATGTTTCCATTACTGGGTAACATTGGCACAAAACAATCGCACCAAACTACAGTGAAAGTAAGTTGAAAAAGTAAATCACTCTTACTGTCGTGAAATATGTTCTTACGTTTTGGACTTAGGACTTTTTTATAAGTAAAACAATACATATATATATAAATATATTGAAGGTTTATAATTTTAATCATAATATTTATTTCCAAATCTTAGAGTTATTACAATGTCATATATATATAAACTAGAAATGTTCAGAAACTTTGGGACTTTAAGACAGTATTTGTCTTTTTTCATTGTTACTCTTTTTTTATTATTAGGGATTCAGAAGCAGTTTTATAACAGTTACTATCTTAATTTTTCCCACAGTATTTGTGTGCCTATTTAAGGAGTTTTTATGAGCTGTACTTCTGTTTATTTATTGTACAACATGATATTATGAAAGCACTTTTTGACAAAGCGTATTTAATAACTGAGGATTTAATGCTGTGATTGCTTCCGTGCTATTTGAATGTGGTCTTCAGAAAATATTACATTCTATTGAAAGGTGATTAAGATTCTAGCTAAAATATGTTTGTAACTATATATGATTTTATGTGTAACATTGAATTATACATGGGTGAGAATTGTTTTTTAGTCTTTTGCCCATAACAAATGAATTCTGAAATAAACCATAACTTAAGAAAAGGGGCTTCTGGTAAAGCATTCATTAAAACAGGGAACTACATATAAAACATATGTACATCAACAATAGTTTGATATATAAATAGTTTTATAATTAATCTTAATGTTTCAGTATGGTGAAGAACAACAGCATGTGACTTCGATGGATAATTCAGTGAGCGGGTTATCATTTGAATACCAACTTAATATGAAGGTAGGTTAATGGTGTTTATGAATAGAGATGTAACAGGGAGCAATTCGGCCAGATGCTAGACTTCAGAAAAGCAGCCAAGTGCTTTAGCCAAATAACCAAATAGTTGATATACCAAAGCAGCTCTCCTCTAATTATTGCCCCTCCCCCAATTGCAGAGATAAATAGTCAGTACTGGTAACTTATAAATGTCACGTAGGCCATGATTTTCCTGCCTTTTTTTTGTTGTAGCAGCAAACTGGAAAGCCACTTTGGTCAACATTTATATTACATCATGCCAAATATCAATGATTTGACTTGACCCTTCATCTGTGTTTAATACTTCTTTTTGTTTTTTTAAATTTTATTATTTCTGGTGATTCTCTGACATTTAAAGCTGCAATATTACATTGCTCTTGTATTTTTAAAATTATTTAAATACAAAAGCAAGTAATATCACGTAGCAAGAGAAAATATGTATAAACTAGTGTGTCTTGCAGATAACTCCTGAAGACAATGTAGAGGATGTCGAAACATTGTACAGGTAAGGAAGCCATTGATGGCTTCAATAAAGTTTTTAAAATTGTGTAAATATGAAACATTGATTTTAATTATTTATTACATTTTAGGCAATACACAAGTGCCGATCATTCATATTTAGTGAAAGGGAGCTCAACAAAGAAAGCATTGATACTTGTAACTTACAATCTAACTGTGGTTGAAGATGGTAGAAGTAACCTAGAACTCTTTGGTATTAACACCAATATCTGTTAAACATAAGCTACTTGACTCTTTCTGGTATTACTGCTGTGTAATGTCTGCAGGTATCTATGATATTACTGATATTGGTTGAACAGATCATGACAGAAGAGTTGAAGTGTACAGTGAAATTAATGTTTATTTATCTCCACTTTTTTTAAATTCCAACCCAATCTGTAATTATGGTTAAGATTGAACAAAGACACATTTCCAATACTATCTCAGTCAGCACAAAGGTTCCTCTAGACCTCAGCCAGCAGTGTGTGTATAGTAAATACCTAATTTCGAAATACAGCAACACGTATGAGGCAAAGAGAAACGAACTACTTCTACAAAATGCAGAGTAGCTGGTGTTCTCATATCACAACTTTAAACTTTGTAACTAAATACAGATATCTAAGTGAGAAGTCGTAATGAGAAAGTGATCATTGCAGTGTGTCTTCGATAAACAAATGACAAGCTTAATGTGATATATGTATATATATATATTTTTTTTTATTTTGTGGAATTTATCTGCATTCTAAGGCAGCACTTGAAATTATTTTATAGTGTCTAGAATTATTTTAAAACAATTTTTTTCAGTTTTTTATTCATAAAACTATATTATAAAGTTATTCAAATGTTTACTGCTGTGTTTATTTTTCACAAATACATTATATATACATAAATATAAACATTTTACTGGTACACCTGTATATTATCTTTTTTTTCCCCAGGGTTTGGTTGGGTGTTTAAACAGTTTATTCGAACTACTGCATCTCAAGGAAGATATTTTTGCTCTAGGAATGCTGAGTCGGCTAATTGGAACAGATTTGGAACATTCACCTATAGCTAAACAAAGAAGAAAGGTAAATTCTTATGTTACTTGTAATGAAGCAGAATGATTACATCTGTTACTCTCTCCCCTATAGTTTCTAGAAGGAGGTGGCGTGATACTAGTCATGTGACCTCGCTGACGCAATAATATATTTCATGAAAGAAAGACCCTACAAACCACATATGATTGAATTTGGTGTAAAAACTTTATAAAAGTATGTTCTATGGCTCCCTGGTAATAAAGTGGGTGTAACAAGTATGCATCCATGGAGCAAGGGGATAAGATTTATAATTGCTTCTTTTGTCTTACAAATACTGTACTTAAACTTTATAAAAGTATGTTCTATGGCTCCCTGGTAATAAAGTGGGTGTAACAAGTATGCATCCATGGAGCAAGGGGATAAGATTTATAATTGCTTCTTTTGTCTTACAAATACTGTACTTAAACTTTATTAAACTTATAAAGAATAAAGATGTGTTTTTGTTCTTCATTAAAGAGTTCTATTAAACATCTACAGAATTTATACTGTATACTATTTATCACTGTTGTTTAACTTGATATTTAGCTGTTATTGTACAAAGGATATTTGATTTGGAAAGTAAGGAAAATTTGCGTGAAACTAACTTATTTCATAGCTACGTAAACACATGAAATTAGGGGAACAGAAAAAACATCTACATTTAAATGACGAGGGTAAACGGGATTGCGTTTATATGTTAGTTTGATTAAAGTCCTTTTTTGGGGTAATGAGAACAAACTCATTGTGTTTAACAGTCAGCTACTACTAGAGCTTCTCTTCTTCTTGTGGACCGTACCCTTGATCTAGCCGGACCACTGAGTCACGAGACTGATTCTTTGTTTGACCGTATTGTTCGAGTGTTACCCCAGTTACCAGGTCATACTTGTGACGTAGCTGTAGACATGTGTTCCCTCTCTTCATGTTTATTCAAGTAATTTAAAACCATCTTTTTCCTTCTGGAAGATTTTGCTTTTTTTGTTAATAAAATTAATTCTACCTTTTAATGGGTTCGAAAAGATTCTTTAATAGAATTTGATTACTCTTTGAAAAAGAAAAGAAAACTTCTTTGTTCCTCCTTTTTTATGTATTATTGTACAATTTTCATTAAAATATAATCATTTTTACTAGACTTGGGTCAGATTTTAACAGATCAATGAGGTGAATAATTAAAAAAAGCACCTGATATACAAGCCTCTGTGAAACTAACCTTAAGAAAATTTGTTTTATAGACAGATGGTAAAGAATTGTTTCATGCTACTCGTTTTGAAATGATATTTTGTTGTTTTTGTGTATCTTTTTTATTTCCTAGCATTTGTTTATTTTTTTACCAACTAATGAAATTTCAAATAGTGTGTAGAATTATTGATTGAATTTTTTTATTCTAATTTTTAACATTTAGAAGAAATTGTGAATTAAAATAATGTATTAAGATCTTGTATTTTCAGTTCCTGATAATATGATGTGGTGTGCTAATGTAGAAACACTGAATTAAAGCTTTTTATTATTATCATCATTTGACATAGCTTGCACAATACATTTTAGAATTGATAATGTCTTTAGATATAGATTAAAATATCTTCTGTTCCTTGTACCAAAAAAATAAATTTATACAGTCTTACTATAGGTTGTAATAGGAAGCTGTAACTTACGCTACTTACAGTATTATTTTAAAACATATTAAAGAAATAATAAAACTTTGGAAATGTTTGTAAGATAGTGAATTAACACTGATTTCAAAAGTTAAAAATTTGAATAGCAAACATAAATAAGCCTTACAAGTTAAATTGAGGTCTACAGTGTTCCTGTATTGTTGGAATTTTTTTTTTTCAGATAGCAATTGACTGTTTATAAAGATTTAATTGAAAAAATGTTTTAGTTTTATCCATGTCAACCCTATTGTATGTTATTTTTTCAGTTTGTTAAAGAGCTTATGTTAAAGTTAAAAAAAAAAAAATAGATGAGTTATTTTAAAATTTATTAACTCCTTGACATATGGCCTGTTGTATTTGATTGTAAACAGTCTGAATTTTGTTCTAAGCGATACAGTATATGAACGACCTGTAGTTGCACCTGGCTGTTTGGCTAACAAGTCCTCCGATATAGCTTCAACAATGCTGAATAAACTTGTCACCACTAAACAAAAGGTAAACTTGATTTTTAGACTTAATAATAGTAATTATTGGTAAGGGAATGTTTACAGGTTACACGATACCTAGCAGAATAATTCCCTGTATAATATTTTAATAATAACACATAAGGTCAAAGACTGATACCATCTTTGCCATCATGCTTGTAGTTAATCCACCTGCGAGTAATTAAACTAGCCTTGTATAAGAAATGATATATTGTCAGTGGGCACGATGTCAATTTGTAACTTCTTTTCCTGCAAAATTGGTTGTATGTTTTCAGTAAAAAGGTTAATTCTTTTATAAGCACATGTACACCAGTTTGTTAAACTTACAGGAGTGCTTGATGGAGATGAATCACTGTATAGTCCAAGTGGCAACCAGAGAAGGTCTTCCTATTGATTTATCTGAAGAAAAATTAACAATTGATCAACTGAATGACACTGTCTGTGCTTTCAGGTTAGTGAAGAATTCAGATAAAATTCTGTAAAAGAAAAGAAACGTGACCAAATAAATCATACTGTAGGTACAATCAAATTGGATTCTGTACAGAGTAATTTTGGTGTTACTATAGTGTGCGGTCTACACAGATACTTTCATCATCACTGTTTTAACTTTTGTTTATTTGCAGTTGGCACCAATTGTTATAAATAATGCTTTCAAACTAATAAAGTACAAAATACCATTACATACTGTTTTTGGGGGCAAATATAATTGGAATGAAATCAGTTCCCACAATCAAAACTAACACAATTATAACCTAAATTTAAGGTTCTCTTTTTGAACACACAACTTATTCAATTATTATTATTTACTGAACAAAAACGTGGATAGATAATAATTACTTAGCAAGAAATTTTGTTTTAGTGAATCATTAAAACAGTGATGATGATGATAGTATCTGTGTAGACCACACGGTATACATTTGTGTAAATATCTTTGTAGACTGCACGCTATAGTAACACCGTAATTTTGTTTCCGATATGTCCCCAGTTGTATATTATAAGTACTTAACATAGATGAACTAAAACAATCCAAACATCTTTAATGTTGATATCTGTTAAAAAAGCTTCTGGCTGCTTAATTTCAGGTAAAATGTATCCATAATGTCTGAATTTCTTAAGAAAGGAAATAACACAGACTTCTGTGTGTTTACTTTTTGTGCGGTTAAATTTTGTGCTTTGTTTATTTGATAAACTTAGTTGAATAACATAAATATCCAGATGAAGCTTAAGACGTTTACTGTAAGTATGAAAATAAGACTAAATTACCTTCTTGATATACTCGTATAAAATATAAGAAAAAAAAGACAGACTAAATCTTGAGAGAAGTACAAATCTATAATTTGTTTTTACAGGATCACAAATGATTTTGAATTTGTTGATTTAGGAATCATCCAGATGCAGTGATAACACATGCAGAGATTTTACAGCAAGCTCTAGCTGTAATACAAGCTTCAAGTCACACTAAGAATTCACAGATGGAAGAATTATTGAGCACAGAAAAACTTCTTGTCCAGAACACTACAATTTCGGGAGAAGGACCAACATCGAACCTTCTTCGGCTTATAGAAAAGAGAAGAGAAAAGTAAGCATACATTTTCTCTCTCACCTTTCTTTTTTTCAGGAATTATTTCACTGTTAGTTTACGTTTATATCAAGCAAGTGAAATAACATTTGGTAATTACATTCAATTGTTAACAAAAGGCAATGTTTTTAATGGATTTACTTACTAGTTGGTGAGTAAAAAGTGTAAATTGAACAAAGTGCTGTCTTGAGCAGTTAATCTATTAAAACATCAAAAAATTTTGTGCTTCTAGATATGTTGTTTTAATCCTACATTTTCTATATTATCTCTTTCGGTGTTGTATTAATTATGGTAGTTTGGTGCTAGCCAACTTGAGCTATTTGCTTCTGAATTCACCTGTTTTTGTAAATAAAAATAACCTTAAATGTTGCTATGTTATTACCTTTTCTTACATTTGGAATTATTTGAATTCATGTTGATGCCTTTATTAGACAGGAAAGAACATGACTCACTAAAATTTGGGTGTTTTTTTTTTCTGCCTGTGCCAGAAATTAAAACTTTGAAACCTTGATAATTATTGTTTTTTAACTTAGTTTGAAACTGTTGATGGAGATGCTACTAAATATTTCATATAACCAGTGTACAAATAAGATATTAAACAGTGTTTGTATACTAAATGAACTTTTCATCCATCAGATAAAACATAAAAGATATATTAAACAGTGTACAAGCAACAATATAAAGGATATATTAAACAGTATATAAGCTACAGTATGTGGTTGGCAATAATTGATTCTGTAACCAAGTCTTATAGGAACAACAACAACAGAAGTAGATTCAGAACCTTACCTGCAAACAATTGAAGGCAAAAAAAAGTATAGAAAAAAACTCAGTATGTCAGTGTACAAAAACACACCTAAAAAAAAAAGTCAAAACCAAGAAAAACTTGCTTGTAGGTGAAAACAGAACTAAAAGAAAAACACTGAGATAGAAACAACTAGGTTTTCTGTAAACTAGGACTGTTTTTTTTAGCCACGACATAGCAGCTCATAGAATGGCTAAGTTTTTTTTCAAGTATAAACTTTTAGCTCATAGTTCCATCTCTTGACCAATTTGAGATCTAATTACACCCACAGCTATTGAGTATTCCCTCTTGTTTTTGTTTACTTTCCTTGCTTTGGTTTGTTTGTTTTAGTTTTTTTTGTTCTTTTTTTTTAGTTTTTGAGTTTTATATATGTATTCAAAGTGCTTTAAAACCTTTCTGGCTAATCCTTTTTTTTTTTTGTCATGTCTCCACCCTCAAAGGAAACAAAGGAATATTGACCAATTTGAGATCTAATTACACCCACAGCTATTGAGTATTCCCTCTTGTTTTTGTTTACTTTCCTTGCTTTGGTTTGTTTGTTTTAGTTTTTTTGTTCTTTTTTTTAGTTTTTGAGTTTTATATATGTATTCAAAGTGCTTTAAAACCTTTCTGGCTAATCCTTTTTTTTGTCCTGTCTCCACCCACCAGTAATTGTTTGTTGAGGTTTAGTTTTGCCTATGACAGAACAATTTCATGTAGGAGTGTAAAATGTAAAAATTACATGCCTAAAGGAAATTGGCATCTGAAAGTAAGGGTTTAGGCTACATTGTTTGTGTTGTTGATTTAGTTATTAAAATGAAAGGAAATTGGCATCTGAAAGTAAGGGTTTAGGCTACATTGTTTGTGTTGTTGATTTAGTTATTAAAATGAAAGGAAATTGACCATCTCAATAAACATTGCACTCGTAGATCTTTGACGTTAGGAGATGTTGTTGTTTTGATGGCCCAGTTGTTTGCCCTGTGTGGGGAAGATGTTGTGGGAGATGGTGAACAAGAAACTAAGCTGCAGGTAAGTCTTCGGTGTTTCTGGAATAGTGTATACTAAGTTTCTTAATAGATGTAATGGAATTGACCTGTGATAACTTAATGAGTAAAACAATACAACAATTTGAGTGTAATTAATATTTTAATGAATTATTTTAAGCATTTTATAGCAAAGTTATTGAATATTTGAGGGTAGAAATGTACAGTATTACTTTGAATGTTAACATAAACTGAAAACAATAAATTAATAAAAGAAAATTCAGGTTATTCCAGGAATTTCAAGTTACAAACATGTAGTCCATGATGCACTATGCTTGGCTATCAGTTCCTGTCTTTTTGTTTGTTTGTATGTTTTAGTTATTAATTCCTGAATAATCTTGAATGGCACGTGACTTTGAAATGTGCATGCGTGATCTAGTAGGTTAGTGCAAAGCTTCAAGTTGGGCAACCTCTCAGAGGCCCTGGGTTTGTAAAATTTGTATAGATAGCATTTCATTTGTTTGAAGTTGGCCCAAAACACTAAAAGCTGTAAAATGTCTCTTCATCTGCCAAATAAAACATTTTACTCTTTTTAGATTTTATAGTTTGCCTAATTACAAAATATTACAGGTGTTTATTATTTTGTAACAAATATATTGAGAAACATGTATGTGCATTGATCGAAAAAGATAGGCTTAACTTATATTGACAAAATATGAATGCACATGTTTAGATAGATATTGGTTATTTTTATACATCTAATTTATTATCTTTGTGTCCAGAAATTGTTAATTGCACTAATTATACAAGTTTGAATTTGTGAAGACGTTATTATCCTGTATATTCGTGGAGTAAAAAATACAAAATACAGGTTATGGAAAATTTAATCTAAATATACATATTTTGTAGGCAGCATTCGTGGAAGCAATATTTCATGATGCCGAAGGGGAATTACCAGAGTTTCTCAGAGAACTAGGTATGTAAATATTGACTGATGAAAAAATATAAAAAAGTTGAAAGAAGAAAAAAAAAAGATGCAAATTTGTATTTGAAAAACATATTTATCTATGGATTTTACTTAAAAGTGTCTGATCTCTGGAAGAATAAGAAAAATGTATATATATAAAGTTATGTTATTTTTGTACTTCCGTGTGGATGGTTGTAGTTAGAAAGTGACAAGTTGCTAGTTGGTTAAAGAATTTTATCATTTGTAATATATACCTAGATTACGAAGAAAATATTCCAGATGTAAAATTATATACATAGATACATAATGTAATTATGTATATGACAGTACCTATAGCAATAACCAGGCTGACCTCGTGGTTAACGTTCGTGGCTGCAGATGAGAAGCCTCAAGGTTCAAGCTAAAATATGTTGCCGTAGAAACATTATAACTGTCATCGCCATTCATTCTCATTAGTTTGTTATCATTAACCATCAAAGAGAAGGATGCTGTTGACCAGTTGTCCCCTTTCTAATCAATAGTTTGAAATTAGGGAGAGTAATGAACTTTGAAGATCTCTGACCTGACTATTTAGCTCATGTGTCATACAAGGTGCAGTCGTTAAAATTCATTGGTGTTTGTGTATTGTTCAATGTTAAAAAAAATTCAATTTTTTATAAAACAACAATTAATTTATGCATGATTCTAAAAGTGAGACTGTTTCCAGTCTCAAAATTACAGTAAAATGCAAATAATTTACTGTACAGGGTAAAAAAATAAAATAAAAACTGATAAGACTGGAAATAGTCTCATCAAGATTTTATTTTATTTTTTACACTGTACAGTAAATTATTTGCATTTTACTGTAATTTTGAGACTAGAAACAGTCTCATTTTTAGAATCGTGTATAAAATAATAATTGTTTTATAAAAAATTAAGTTTTTAACAATGTGCAGTCACTTTGAAAATAAAGATCCTTAGCTTTTTTTGTGCACATTAAGATCTATGTAATAGAACCAATATCAGAAAACCTAATTATTAATATATAACCTATCAAATGACCACATTACTGCCAGGGTAAGGAAACAAATTCAATTTATTAATTCAGAAACAAATTTTACAAATCTCGAAAAGTAATAAGTAGTGCCTGCCCAGGACTTTGTAACTGATAATCTCAAATAATAATGAATTAGGAAAACTTAATCTGTAAATTTTTATAAAGAAGAGTATTAATCACATCTGAAAAAATATTACAAACAACAACAATCAAGCTAGTATTTGTAATAATCTGTATCTTTTAATAAACAACTAATATATCTTACATATCTAGTCTCATTCCTCTCGCCCGTCTCTCTTAACTTCTGACTCATTTATTTTACAGTGGAAGACAGGCAAGCAATCATTTAAGGCAAATAAAAGTACAGCTTAACCAAACAATAGGAGAAACAAAATTAACACTGAAAATAGAATAGGAGTTGCTGAATCATAAAAAAAAAAACTATGAGTGCAGAAACACTTGTTTAGATTTAATCTTTCTCTTATATATTTCCAAAACCTTTGTTGCATCTGACACAATGTATACATAAAATGTTTATTTTCATGCAAGTTGGTGAGACAGTCCAGGAGACCAGTGTAATCTCCGCTGTAAATATTATGTTTGAGAAACTTCACCTAATTGGAAGGGCAAGACAAGATTTAAAGAAATACAGGTGGGTGTCTTGGATCAGATTTAATGGAAGTGTAGCTGACTGCAGTATCTTTACAATAAACAGATGAATAGTTTACAGCAAGTAAAATTTAGTATTTATATTTCACAGTTTAAATTATAGACATTCCAAAACTTCACAGAAATATTAAAAACACTAGCAGAAATACCTGCTCGGAGGGCAGGTATAACTGCTAGAGCCTTTGGCCTTTTCTGGAATTGTCTGACAGTTCTACAACAATGTACTCATACTTGACATTCAGTAATGTTCACCATCCATGAGAAAAAGGATTTTATTGAAATTTTAGTTTAAAAATGAGCTATCATTACAGCATTACATCACAGAGTAGATTTTATTGAAGTATTTCTTTGTAGACACTTATCAACGAAAGTGCCTTGCTTTTCTGTTGCAACACTCATGAAATTTTCACTAAAGAAAAACTAATAATTTTTTAAAGTTTGTTTTATATTTTAAACTTACTCCTTTTTGTTTGTAATTTTTATTGGTTAAATCTGAAACACATCATTTTTGTGAAATTTCAATTGTTTTATTTATTGCTCAGCTATAAAAATGCTGCCTAGTTATAAAAAATATTACCCAGTTATGATTGGTGATGATCGGTGCAGTAGTTTCCGAGATCCGCATTGTGGACATATACATCCCAAGATCCATTATAATAAAATTTGTTCTAGTTTTAAAATTAGTTTTCTTTTTTTATATCACTGGTCTGTTTGCTACAGAAGTTTAGACATATATTTTATTTACATGGCCCAACAGACTATAGCAAATAAATTAATTTGAAAATATATTAAATTTTAAGCTCCTCCATTCTGTAATAACTTATATAATTAGATTTTTTTTATATAGAAACACTGTGAATTAAATATTTATTTAGTGATTTCATTTACTCGTACGTATTACATTTTAGTAAATGATATATGAGGCTAACTGTTTAAGAAATTTTGGGAGCAAATGTTTCTATTTTGACGAAAATATT